TTGTACTTCTTGGGAAATCGCTTTCTGGGCCATGGTTAAAAAAAGATAGAACAAAGTTATCGACTAAATATTTTTTTTCTTTTGGTGCCCTTATTCTGTCAAAACATATACACCTCTAGTGTATGTGTGTGCATTGTTTTGAATAAAAAATACAATAATTTGATCCTTCTATTTTAGACTCAATCTCCAAAACTCCACTCTTGTTTCGCGTGTCTTTCCCAATATAAGAATTTTGTAAAAAAAAAATAAACAAACAAAACTAACTGTTGCATATTTAAAAGTCTATTTGGCACTATAAGACACCATTACCGAGTTCCATTTTTCTAGTTTCTTGGAAGTTGAGCAACTTTTCTTATTGAGCCATGGTTAAAACCATGGTAGAATGAGGGGGTAGAACAGCTGTTCTACCTCCTTATTGTACCATGGTTAAAACTATTACCATTGTCAAATTAAGAAGGTAAAGCCATTTCAAATAAGCATATTCATCTCTGAATTTTCTGTTGTTGTTGTAGCAGTTTTACATGTTCCGTTGTTTTTTCTGACTAATCCGGTTCTTCCTTAATGTCCAGGTTTATTAATTCTGCTACCTTTATGGGCTGTAGCCATAGATCCTCTGGACGGATTTGGGTAGGTTTGGCTGGACAATTAAACAATTGCAGCGCGTTGTGCAGGCGTTCGCACATCCTCATCAATTCGTGCCCAATACGAATTGAGACGGATGCACCACCCTGAAAGTAGTTAGGCCAAAACTACCCTGGTTTGCCTAGGCAGCCGACGTTCTTTAGCTGCAATGGATGGGGGTGGACTCCGAGTATGACATTCATACTGTAATTATTAACTACCTCTGCGACTGCATCAGTATGAATGCTATTCAGACCCGCTTGATAGGCTTCATGATCTAGAGGCTCTCTCTTATATCGCTGGACCTCTCTCTCTAGATCGTGCAGGTCCTTCCTGACACGCCTGGGTGGGGGAGTTCTATCCACCATATGGGTGTTATCCCACGATAACACGCAAGCAGGTACTGCAACGAAAGCATATGATTATGCTGACGTAAGGGAAGAACCTTCGTCTCCTCATTTAAATGGTCCACAGGAGTCATGAGGAGGCCCCCTGTTGCAGTTCTCACGGCGGCTTTAAAAGAGGTCAACAAGGTTTCCTTATCCGCACCCCAAGTGCTGCCGGCTAGCGCCTTGATGACCCTGTTCCTACTTTTCATTTTATCGCAAATAGCTGTGGCTTGCTCGGAAGACTTGAACATGCTATCGAATGTGACCCCAAGGATTTTGGGGTAGTTGGTGGTCGGAATTATATGCCCCTCGACCTGCACATTCAGCTGTGTTCTCATCTCCGCAGTCCATGTGGTAAATAGTGTGGCCGTCGATTTAGTGGCGGATATTCTCATATTCCTCGCATGGAAGAAGGCGGCAAGTTCCGCGAGATAGTTATTCGCCCTGACACATATGTCATAAATTACAGGACCCGACGCCATGATCGTACAATCATCCGCAAAAGTTACAATCTGCCGTCTGGAGGGCGCGGAATTCCGGAAAGGTAGAGGTTAAACAGTTTCGGAGATATCACCCCACCTTGGGGAACTCCCTGTTTCACTCTACGAGGCTTGAATTTCTTATTCCACGTATGAATTCCACGGCCGTGAATTCTGTGGCACGGCCTGTTTTGGTTGAGTCCTCGACTGATATGTGTGGATGTGGAGTGCAATGCTGTTGTAATGCTATGTAGTGGACGGAAACCGTGTTGATGGTTAGCAACTGAATAGCTTCCTCTGATACTGGGGAGGAGTAAGGTCTCGAGAGTCTTTGCTACTGGCGACAAAAGCGAATTTTGCCTGTATGATTCGCCTTTACTGGCATCCTTGCCAGGCTTCAGTAGCAGGACCACCCAGCCCATTTTCCAGGCTTCGGGAACTATGTGGGTGGCTAACGACAATTTAAGGACTTTGGTTAAATACTCAACTCCCGGCGTATCCAGTTGCTTCAACATTACCATTGATATTCCGTCCGGGCCCAACGCTTTAGATGACTTAGCGTTTCGGATGACATTCGCAACATCACCCATCGTAAACTGTGGAGGTACATCCTCGGCGGGAAGAGCTCTTATACGACGTAGTACTCTTCGCCTCGCCCTATCACTCTCGGGGTGCTCGACAAATTGGCGGTTAAAACAGCCAGCGCACCTCTTCGGATCAGTCACAGTTACGTCGTTAAATGTGACTGCTGTCCTATCATCCTTTTTTCCAGGGTTCGAGAGTGACTTTACCGTTACCCACAGTTTACTAAATCGGTTCCAACGTTGCAACACTTCAGATGGTCTAGCCACTTTTTCCGCTTATGCTCCTGTACCAACCGGTTGACTTCCACAGTCAGTTCACTGACTCTGGGATCCCGCTGTCCTCTGCTGGGAAATTTGATCTTACTTCGGGTAAGCGGCTGCAGCTTTGATGATGTCCCGGAAAATCCTTTCTGCTACCCGAACATCAGAAGGATTGGACAGTTCTCTGAAGCGAAGGTTGGTGAACACTCTGAACACGGGCCAGTGGGCTTTCCCATGTTTAAGGAAAGTGCGGCGTTCAGAGGTTATGAAATCGGGCGATCTGCTGATGGAGACGATTATCAGGAGATGGTCTGAGCCAAGAGAAATGACGGGTTGCCAAGTCACGTCATTTATCAGACCGGGTGACACGATGGTTAAATCTGGCGAACTGTGACACTCTCCTCTTATTCGGGTGGGGGCATCCTCGTTTACCGTGCAAAATGTGGAGCAGTCAATCGCTCTGCCAACGCTGATCCCCTCTGGTCATTACCTAGGACGGAATGCCACAACTCATGGTGGGCATTGAAGTCCCCTAGTACCAGGCGTTTATTGCCTTCCAAAAGTGGGCTTATATTAGGCAAGTAACGCGGTTCACAGCTATTAACCGGCGGGATATACACATTAAGCACCTCTACCTCGGCAGTACCACACTTGACTGCTACCCCCATACACTCCATGTACGGGTCACCAGAGACTAGCTCAAGCGATATAGGTCTGTATTGAACAGAATGGTGTAACAGAAACGCTAATCCCCACATCCACTTCTGGTGCGATCTTTCCTCAATACGTTGTAACCATTGCAACGTTGTAAGCTACAATTTTCATTGAGCTTGGTTTCGGAAGTTGACGACGAGGTCGTGGACTCACTGGGGACTACGGTGGTACAGCACGAAGCAACATAGTCCCTATCGCTGTAGTCACGCAACCGGGTTAAACCGGAACAATTCCTAAAATGCACCCATCCTCTGCATCCATTACATCGCACCGAGACTGATCTATGGTGGATGGTGTTTTGGCAAACCGTACAGAACCATGGTCCGGGGTTTTCCTCAAGCCCGGCACGGACCAAAAGAATCCGGAGCAAGCATTCCGGGATGTGCTGCTCCCAATACAGAAAAATAAATAAACATGAACATGTATACGCTGAGGTGGCAGCCGCTGGCGGAAAGTGGAGTGTTATTGCTTCGTGTCAATCCGGTGTCGTAGAACCCGCTTACCTTGTCAAATATCTTTGCAAAGAAAACAGGTTCCCATATCTGACGTGTGTTATATAATGGTAGAATTAAGAAGATACAGTCATGCAATCAGATGTTTACAATCATCTCAAATATATTCATTTGACAAAATCTCGTTGTCAAAATTTATATATACAAATCCACATCAGAGATGGGAACTTGTGTTATTTGCTTTATTAAAAATAAAGTGTTCGCTTAATTTGAAAATGCGGCATATCACTTCAGAAGTCCAGGGTATATTTTATTTGTATTCGGATCCTTCCCCACAGAGGAATATTTAGTTAGTCATTTAACATTGAACAATTTATTTTTTAGTGTGTTGAAAACAACAGAATAGTGTAAATAAAAAAATTTAAATTTTACAACATTATTAGTTGGTAGATTTTAATTGACCTGACCTATGCTTTAACGCTTGGGAAAATTGATATATCAAAAAATTGTAAATGTTTTTCAAATATAAGTAGATTTTTATATGTTTTCTTACACGATGTCATTCGGATGTTATTATAATTCGCATTTTTTCAACAATTTTTACAAATTTGAATAATTTTTCATTCAATATTTTCAATTGCAAAATTGGTTTGACAGTTCATTGTCCCAGCAGCTGTGTCGACGCGTTTACCTATATTCTTCTACCATGGGTAATACGGACGTACAAAACGTTTTATAATAACGGGAATGTTTGTGTACGCTACGCTCTAAAACTACCACAATCTTTCAGTTTCGAAAATTTTTTGATATCATAAAGGAAAAATCAGTTATCGCTGTAAAACGTTTGATTTTCGTGCAGTTCGGGAACAGAGCATATGTATGTGTTTTGACTTTACAAGATTACCGTAAGAAAATGTATTCAGGTGATTCGTTTTGCCCTTGAAAATTGGACATTTGTGAACCATGGTACAATGATATCAAGGTAGGGCTATGATACCATATGATTTTAATTTTTTTTATTTTCTTGGCTTAATATGTCATCCTTATTTGTTTATGTATGTGTTTTCTTTTCAATAACAAAAATAATTCGCAGAAAATATTCAAATTCGGGTGTTTTCAAAATGTTTATTTCAACGTATGCATCGACAAAATCTACAGTTTTCGTGAAATAAACCATAAGAGATATATAGAACATGATTTTGAAAAGAAATTTTGACCTTTCATTCAGTTTTCGCGGTTTTAAATTATTTATTCAAAATAAATGCAACAAGTTGTTTGATTTTTTATTGTTTTGATACTAATTCTGACATTACAAGCCAAACAGGTAGACCTCTATACTTGCATTTTTTACCTTCTCTTTATTATACCATGTTTGTGATAAGTAATTCAAATATATCCGAGGATTCCTAAATTGTACTATTTTACATCTGCGTTGTTTAACGCTTTCCGCTTTTGTTTGTGTGTTGTAAGCGTATGGAACGGAAATTATTTGTGGTAGTTTATGGTGTCAAATGGACTATTGAGGTTATGGTGTTCATACATATTTTCTCGAAGTTTCAGAGACTGCAACTAAGTTAGTTCGAAGGAACGATAAACATTTAACAAAAATAGAAAAGAATGGCTAAGTGGGGCGAAGGTGATCCACGCTGGATTGTTGAAGAACGTCCAGATGCTACTAACGTCAATAATTGGCATTGGACTGAAAAAAATGCCACACCTTGGTCAAAAGACAGATTCCATCAACTCTTCAGTAAAGTAAAGATTGGTATGACAAATTACTTTTCAATATATTGAATGAAAAAATAACCGTGATATTTATTTCTAGATAATGAAAACATTGAATGCATTATTGAATCTCTGGACAAATGTAGTGGAGAAGCTACTGCCAATAATCGCAAAGGGAAACTTATATTTTTTTATGAATGGGAATTGACTCTTTGCTGGATTGGATTCTTCAAAAACAACCACGAAAAACGCCACAAAGGAAAAGCAACTATACCAAACCTTTCAGAAGAGAATGAGATAGATGATGTGGAAATAACCATCACAATTGATGAATCTAATGAAGAATCGGAAGTCATAAAGCAGTTTATGTATAACGATGGTCGAAAGAAAATAAGGCAGTTGTTGGGTATCTATATTAAGGAGCTTAAGGAGGAGTACTCGAAAAATCTTATTCTGCCAAACAAGAACTCGGAAAAAATGCAACCTCAATCTGATATCCAGCACAAAGGAAACAGCATCTTTACTTACGGAACTAGTTCTAGCTCATCAAAAGTGGAATCATCTCTTGGTTGCAAATTGGATGTTCGAACGCTTAATATTGAGGAAGAATTTCAATGTACAGCTAATGATCTGTATAATGCTCTAACTAAAAATGACATGCTAGCATCCTTTACAAGAGCTCCTGCAAAGGCCGAAGCATCGAGAGGTGGAGAGTAAGTAAATATTATCTTTTTTCCCTTATGTAGAACATTCTTCTCTTTAACTTGAAGAGTTGAGTTACAAAAATCGGATAATATTTAGTTATACCGATCCGATACTCAGTATTTAAAAGCTTATGGAAACACCTATCTAACTTTAACTCATAATTTTATTTACCTGTTCGGAACGATTACTAAGTTATTTATATATAACTGTGTACCAAATGATAAGATATGTACCATATCGTATTTATACCCATACATACATTGTATATGTATGTATTAGGTTAGGTTAGAGGATGCGCGGTTGCTTAGCAACCGCTCCACTCGGAGCCCTGCTGGTCCATTGTGATCATCCTGATAGAGTGAAAGAAAAAAGGAAGAGAGATAAGCTTATGTTAGGGAAGATGTATCTACGAAGAAGTTATCGTTTTGTCTTTAGCCATTTTAGTTGTTCTTGTAGCAGTGATGTGACGTTTTTTATATACTGTTAACCCAGTTCTTCCTGGACAATTAAACAGATGCAGCGTATGGTGCGGGCCTGTATCGCACGCTGGGCAGACGTTCCGCACATCTTCTTCAATTCGTACCCAATATAAATTGAGACGGCTGCACCATCCTGTACGTAGTTGGGCCAAAACTACCTTGGTTTGCCTAGCAGCCGACGTTCTTCAGCTGCAATGGATGGGGGTAAACTCCGAGGATAGCATTCATACTGTAATTGTTAACTACTTTTGCGACTGCATCAATATGAATGCCCGTCTGATAGGTTTCAAGATCTAGGGGCTCTCTCTTATATCACTAGACCTCTCTCTCCAGGTCATGTAGGTCCTTCCTGACACGCCTGGGTGGGGGAGTTCTGTCCACCCACGATAACACCCAAGCAGGTACTGCAACGAAAGCATATGATTATACTGGCGTAAGGGAAAAATCTTCGTCTTCTCGTGTAAATTGTCCACAGGAGTCATGAGGAGGCACCCCGTTGCAGTTCTCAGAGCGGCATTCTGGAAGGGCTGAATACTCTTCCACTGCGTTGCACTCGTATTCGCTGACCACGCTTTGAGGAATTTGTTCCTACTTTATTACAGATTGCTGTGGCTTCCGCGGAAGACTTGAACATGCTATCGAATGTGACCCCAAGGATTTTAGGGAAGTTAGTGGTCGGTATTATGTGTCCTCGACCTGCACATTCAGCTGTGTTCTCATCTCCGTAGTCCATGTGGTAATTAGTGTTCCCGTTTATTTAGTGGGGGACATTTTCATATTCTTCGATAGGAAGAAGGCTGCGAGCTCCGCGGGACAGCTGTTCAACCTGACACATTTTTCATCAACTACAGGACTCGACCCCATGATCGTACAGTCATCCGCATATGTTACGATCACCCCATCTTGGGTAATATTTAAAAGCTTATTGAAACACCTATCTAACTTTAACTCATAATCGTATTTATACCCATATCGTATATATACCCATACATACATTTTATATGTATGTATTAGGTAAGGTTACGGGGTTGTTTCACTCTACGGGGCTCGGACTTCTTGTTCCGGAATTCTACGTACGACTAGCGTCCACACATATAATTGACTATCCAAGGTTTCAAACTTGGCATTCTCAACGTCCTCGAATAGCGTGGCATGGTTGACCGTATCAAAGGCCTTTGATAGATCAAGGGCCACCGCTACTGTTCTATGGCACGGCCTGTTCTGGTTGAGTCCTCGACTGATATGTGTGGATATGGCGTGCAATGCTGTTGTGGTACTATGTAGTGGACGGAAACCGTGTTGATGATTAGCAACTGAATAGCTTTTCGTGATACTGGGGAGGAGTAAAACCTACTACTTCTTTGCTACTGGCGATAAACGCGAAATTGGCCTGTATGATTCGCCTTTGCTGGCATCCTTGTCTGGCTTCAGTAGCGCTACCACCCTGCCCTTTTTCCATGCTTAGGGAACTATGTGGGTGGCTAACGACAAATTAAGGACTTTGGTTAGATACTCAACTCCCGGTGCATCGAGTTGCTTCAACATTGCCATTGATATTCCTCCCGGGGCGCATTAGATGACTTAGCGTTTCGTTTACATCCTCGGCGGAAAGAGCTCGTTCTATCACTCTCTGGGTGTTTGATAAATTGGCGGTTAAAATGGCCAGCGCACCTCTTCGAATCAGTCACCGTTACGTCGTTAAATGTGACTGCTGTCCTATCATCCTTTTTCCAGGGTTCGAGAGTGACTTTACCGTTAACCACAGTTTACTCAAATCGGTTCCAATGTTGCAACACTTCAGATGGTCTAGCAACTTTTTCCGCTTATGCTCCTGTACCATCCTGTTGAATTCCACTGTCAGTTTACTGACTCTGCGATCAGTAGGGTTTTTAGGCCGAAGTTCATCACGCTCACACGCTAGTCACGCTTCTCACGCTGCTGAGGAACTTGGTCTTGAGAAAAGTGGGGCGTTCAGAGGTTATTAAATCGGGCGATGTACTGATGGAGACGATTATCGGGTGATGATCATTTTAGTCATCTAGCTAGCTGAAGAATTGTTGTAGTCAGTATCATCCGATTCATCAGCAATTTGACGGCTGGTCAAAACCCGACCCCCTAAATTCTCCACATACTTCATAATGACCGAATGTCCAAATAATTGACTACACAAATTGACAAAGTTCTATGAGTCTCACTGTACAACTCGCTGCTTGTTCCTTTACAAATAGACTTAAGGGTTTCAAGTTAAGTAGGGTGTCCAAGGTAGACTGAGGTGTGCTTCTAAGTGCACCTGTAATTAATGGTGATACTACTCTTTGGACTTTGTCAATGTTTTTACTGAGGGAAGCATTCCCCAGAGAGTGCCACCAAACTAAACCACCATAAGTCAAACAGCAATCCCACGGCGGCCGGTTCTATGTACCGGATTGACTCGGAGGTACAAATCGCCGACCAGGGGCCGCCAACTCAGCAAATATATGTTCGTGTTCGTCCATTTTTCTGACGTGGGAGCAACATTACCCGGAATGTTTGCTCCGTATTCTCTTGGTCCAAGCCGGGATCGAGACCAACCCCGGACCATAGTTCTGCTCCGTTTGTCGTAATCGCATCCACCACAGATCGGTTTTGGTGAGATGCAACGGATGCATGGAGTGGGTGCATTTCCGGAATTGTTCCGGCTTAAACCGGATACAGGAGTACAGCGATAGGGACTACATTGCTTCCTGCTGCGTCAATGTAGACCCCAGTGAGTCTTAATCTTCGGCGTCCTCGTCGTCTTAGCAATATGAGACTCCCCCGCAATCTCCTCTACAGCAATTTACGCAGCAGTTGACGCCACACATTGCTGTTCAAGTTCCGGATAACGCATCATTTCTCCAGTTTAATTGTGATGGTCTCCGAGGTAAGATTAACGAAATTGTAAGCTTTATGAGTCGGAAAAACATCAAGGTCGCAGCGATCCAGGAAACGAAGCTAAGTACCACCTGCAGGCTTCAAAGTTGTGATGGATACAACGTACTGAGGAAGGATCGCTCCAGAGGTGGAGGATTAGCGTTCCTATAGCACCACTCTGTCCAGTACAGACCTATATCGCCTGAGCTTGATTCTAGTGACCCGTACATGGAATGTATGGGGGTAGCGGTCAAGTGTGGAACCGCCGAGGTAGAGCTGCTCAACGAGTACATTCCGCCGTTAAATAGCTGTGCCCCACGTTATATGCCTAATATCAGTTCACTTCTGGTAGGCAATAACCGTCCGGTGCTAGGGGATTTCAATGCCCATCATGAATTATTCCATTCCGTCCTAGGTAATGACCAAAGAGGCATGGCGCTGGCTGAGCAAATTGATAGCTCCAAGTTTTGCACAGTGAATGAGGACGCGCCACCAGAATAAGGGGAGACTGTCACAGTTCACCGGGCATATCCATCGTGTCTCCAGGTCTCACGAATGACGTAACTTGGCAATCAGCCATTTCTCTATGCTCAGACCACCTCCCCATTATTGTCGCCATCAACAGACCACCCGACTTCATGGACTCAGAACGCCGCACTTTCCTTAACCATGGGAAAGCCAATTGGCAAGAATTCAGAGAATATACCAATCGCCGCTTCAGAGAACTGCTGATTTTCAGGTAGCAGATAGCTGTTTCCGGGACATCATCAAAGCTGCAGCCGCTCTTAACTTACTCTGGGGTAAACAGTCGTTATCCACCCTGGAAGTTCCCGATGTCTGGAAAATGGGCAGGGTGGTCCCGCTACTGAAGCCAGGCAAGGATGCCAGCAAAAGTGATTCATACAGGACGATATCACTTTTGTAATCAGTAGCAAAGACGCTTGAGACTTTATTCCTCTCCAGCATAAGAGAGTGTTTCCCAGTAGCCGATCATCAACACGGATTCCGGAAATTGCACAGCACAACAACAGTATTACACGCCATTTCCACAAATGTCAGCAGAGGTCTCAACTAGAACAGGCCATGCGATAGAACAGTTATGGTGGCACTTGATTTATCAAAAGCTTTTGATACAGTCAATCATGCCACACTGTTCGAGGACATTGAGCGCACCGCCCTCCGGCCAAGTTTGAAACGTTGGAAAGTAAAGTACATGTGTGGACGCCAGTCGTACGTGGAATTCAGAAACAAGAAGTCGATCATCCGTAGAGTTAAACAGGGAGTTCTCCAAGGCGAGGAACTCCGGAACTGTTTAAAATCTACCTTTCTGACATTCCACGCCCTTCATACGGCATAGAGATTATAACGAACGCAAATGATTGTACGCTCGTGGCGTCCAGACCCATTCTTGATGATATTTGCGATCTGTTAAACGCTTACCTTGTTGATCTTACCGCCTTTTTCACTGCGAGGAATATGAAGATATCCGCCACTAGTGTGAGATCAATGACCTCCTCCCCATCCTTGTTTTGAAATGTAGCCTCGTTTCTCCTATTACATATTTTGAGATTATGTCTATGAATAAAATCAAATAACGGACTCACCTCTTGCATTGGTAACCTTACTGTCCCATTGAA